GAGACTGCTACTGGTGTGTTAACAGCTCGTCAGCTGATGACATCAATGACAGGGATAATTTACCAAACGCTCTTTGATTCCTCTAATCCATAGTCCAGTAGGATAACAGTAAATCCAAGATCAATTCACAATAAATACTCTCTGAAGCTTGGACACTGTTTTGGTATTGTCCATTTCCTGGACTTTACCATCACCAATTGAAGTGTCTGATGAACTGTTCATGCTCATTTCACAAATTAAATATCTTCTGTGATATCTGTCAAATTTACATGTCCATTGCAAGAAATTAATTATTCACACTTAACCTAGTGGCATTTGTATCAATGTCCAGTTGAAATTCACAATGATCCAGTTTAACCAAGTAATCCAGGTCTAAAATGTCCATTTGGTGTAATTGACATCCCATCCAACCACGTCCAGTGAAATCCCAGCTTGAAATGTACCCATGAAAGATCAGTGCAGTTGCAGTCTGCAACCCCTGTAAATCTCCAATCCACAGATGTGAAAAGATCACTTTGAATCCATCAATGTCACTTTCCCAAAGCTGTCATCACAAAGATGGTCATCATACAAATTTATCATTTATAATTACAGTTTCAATCATATTTCCAAATGCACTGCAACTTTAACACTTAACAATGTCCATAGCCATCAATCATGTCAACAGTACAAATTGACTCCAATCAATTTCACACAAATTGAAATTTACATATGTAAATTTCAAAATTTGAAAACAATTCCATTTGTGCTAAAAATACTGCTAGAGTCAGCTGAGCAGAATCCACGAAGAAAGGGTGGTTGTCATGTTATAACCAAATCTTAAACGGATTAACAGAGTAACGCCATGACAACAGATGATCAAGAGTAGCGTCTAGGCTTGTGCCAGTCGTCGATGCCTTTGCATCATGATTGGAAATCACAATCAATTTTCCGTGGAAGAGCCATCTTACTGAATGTGGGAGGCCAAACATAATAATTGAGAAGTATGAATCATCCAACAATGTTTCTTCTAAACCAGTCCACACACAATCATCACATTGGCTCCGACCTTAACCCAACAAACAAAGGTCAAGGTCGTTAGTTGCTATACCAACAGATTCCAAATATTCACTGATTAGTTAAAAGACCTGCCTTCCACAGCAGTGTCCAATCAACATTTATTTTATTTCGTCTAATTTTGACCTACTTCGATGCAGCACAGAGCGGTGTTTTGTCGTCTGCTCTAGCATCTTTTGTATTGATTTTTGGCAGTTCGGTTAGGCTCTGGCAGGGTTCTCAGCAGAACCAGCACAGCTCCAACCAGTATCGAGGCGGTAATTATACGCAATATTGCACATGCAGACAACGCTAAAAGTGCCCTCTAGTGGTAGTTGTAGTTATTTAAGGAATCGTGACATCTTCCCATCAATTTAGTTCAACTCAGTGTACTGTTAAAGTGATTCTCACTATGGACAAAGACACTGAAATGGCTGAACATGAAAGAAAAGGATGAGCATATTCACACTTATTGAAAGGAATACCAATGTAGCTGCTTCATAATGAAAAACACAATTTGTGGGATACATGAAAACCGCATTGCAGCATTATTACAAAGTTTTTGTTTTAATTTCAGATTTTTTTATTGTTATTTCGAGATATTTATATAACATCTGTGAGCAAGTGCCAAGAGGAATATGAGCAATATTATAGCAAAATATCTCCTGCCTATAAATAACTGAGTCAGATAAGCAAACCTGTGATTGACAGTATGAGCATCAGTTCACATCATCACATCATCATCACATCATCACATCAGAATGGCCACAAAACTCCACCAGTTTCCTCAAGATTCTTCCTTCTCAAAGTTTACAGCTGGACTACTTGTATTAATTACATTTATTTATTTTCTAATAAAATATGCTTAAAAATTAAATCATTAAGTTAAAAACTAGCATCAGTCAAACTATACTGAAAAATTTTAATGGACAACAAGTTCTTATATTTCATGAGTGCAACATTTCGATACAGTTCTTGTACTGGTGTTAAGCAGGAATCTGTATCGAAATGTCGCACTCACGAAATATAGATGTTGTAACCCGTAAAGTTTGGTCAACAAATTGTATGCCCTAACTTTACAAATGCCACTCAAAGAAGTCAGTCAAATTAGTTTTCACAAAGATCTTAAACCTGTGTTCTCAAGCAACAAAAGATAATATTCTATTCTTACACCTATAAAAACCTTACTTAATCATGTCTAGTTCAACCATGTATCCATACCAGAAAGACGCAAATACTTATCTGCAAATTATTTATAACTACATAAACAACATTGCAAATATACGACATCGAAAGTCACATGTATTTGAAATCAGTATCACTTTGAAATCAATCATCTGACATTTGGTCCTTAAAGAATTTGAAAAGTTTTAAAAAATGTTTACAAGACCACCCAGTGATGAGCACTGTTACTTTCATTATCTCTCTCCTAGTGTACCCTACAAGTGTAAGTTCAGCAAGAACTGTTCTGAAGAATTTGATGCCCTATTAATCTACCTGCTTGAAATCGACAAGCACAGAAAGATGTATGTTTCACAAGAGATTAACCCAAAACAGCTGTTGGATGAACTCAAAGGAAATCATAATTAATCTAAATTTACCAAGAGTACTCTAGGCCCTGCAGGAGGCCTATTTGATAACGTTAGATGATTAATAAAATAAGCTTACTCAATTTGACAGCTGGTGTTGCTCATTTCAAAACATTGTCAATTTCACAAGGGGTTTCTTCCTAATGTGTTTTTTAGAAAATCTTATTATCTCCCAAAAGGAACTTAAATTAGGTACAAATGAGCACATACTAAGGAATAATGCTGGTTTAATATGATTATTTTAATTAAATAATATACAAATATGTCAATTTCATAAAAGAAATGTACTATGTACAAGCACATCCATCAAATTAAAGCAATAGATAATTTTTGGTTATTAAATTTATGAATACTTAGGTCAAAATTAAACCTGAAAAGAATTAAAGATGATATTGTCAGTGATGATGATGATGATGATGATGATGATGATGATGATGATGATGATGATGATGATGATGATGAGTGGAGTAGTTTCCAAATAACAAAACAACAATAATTATGATTTGGTCTTTCATCGCTATGAAATCACTGTACCATTCATTTAATTAGTTGTGTGGTCAACAGTATACCGCATCAAGTTTAGCTCTGACATAATACCTGTAAACTGTAACCCAACTCATGATTCACTCCTACCATGAAAGGTCAGCCAAACTTGTCATGTCATGCTTAACTTCTCCCACATTTAGGAAATCTACCACGGTGGATGTTTTTACAACCACAATAAACATCCGTAGTTTGTCACCTTCCGCCATCGTAACCATACTTCATCTCCAAGGCACTTTCAGGGATCATCGCTTTTCCCTAATGAAATCACAAATCTATGTCAGGGATAATGAAAGCCACCGTGTCTCTCTTATAATACTGCTTGCACAAGATTTTTTATATTGTATTTATGAGGACTTTATGCCACAAGGTGCGGATAAGTAAGCCATGTGTAATAATATGTCTGTGTGTTTAATACCCACCATTTTATATACAACATGTAAAACTCAGATATATAACCATGATACTTTAACAGATATACATGCATATAAGGCAAATACAGCCATAAAAGCCATATCTTTCTATCATACAAGGGCAACAACAGTTTCCAAACAAAACTTGACAAGATATATTCAAAAAGCCTGCCAAGTAAAAATAGTTATCTCCCTTTAAAAGCATCCTCACCACTTAAATGAGTGGCTTTCTCAGTTTACAGCTATAATGAAGATACCACTGTACAGCTCCCAGGCCTATAGGAAGGTTCCTTTTGATCTCTTATGGGTGAAATCGACTATGCTGAGAATAAATAGCTTGTTATATGAAACTGTCGATCACTGTAGTTCTTACCTTTCAAACTACAGAGGTCCCTGAATGTGTTTCATTTCTTTTGCACATTTCTGCCAATCTGACCGTCTACATAATATGAGTGTGCGTCAATTTCAATCCGAAATCAATACCTTAGGACAGGTATAAATGGTCAGTACAAAAATCCCATTGAAAGATGTTCCCTCACTGAGGTAGCTGGGTCACATGTCACTGGACTAGTGCACCAGTAATATCTGAAGACATCTGCGTTTTGCAGGCGGAATGCTGATATTTAACATTTTGCCTTTTGACCATTACTAAATGATCATCAGCATACATGGAGCTTATGCTTAACCCTTTTGGCCAAATTCCATTGCTTTTATTTTGCTGATCCAAGATCAGATTCTGAAACAGATGAGCGAGGTGGGGAGCACAGATAGTGCCAGTGGGCATGTCTACTATTCTCAATGTCTCACCTCCAAATTTAACATAGATATTATCCAGAGGAGTGAGTGAGTGAGTATGGTTTTATGCCACTTTTAGCAATATTCCAGCATTATCACGGTGAGGGACACCAGAAGTGGGCTTCACACATTGTACCAATGTGGGGAATCGAACCCAAATCTTCAGCATGACGAGATTACTAGTGTAATCTTTGACAGTGTCTGTTTTCCAGTAACATGTACTCATATATAATTTAAACAGGTTTGTTACCAGCACTTGTAAATCTACCTCCCAACACATGTCTACAGAATGCAGGGGATGGGAGTTGTTTGAAAGATGGGGGCACTTTTGGCCAACTTGAAGAGGCAAATTATTAGACATGTTCAATTGTTCTATATCCCTCACAGAATATATTTACTCTTCATTATAAAGTCAATCCAGTCAATTCTGACACTAACTTGTGCTAAATACCAAATGATATATGGAGACAAAATAACCAGAAGACGAGTTTTGCCAAGAAGACATTTTTACACACATTCCCGGATGTGAACTTTTAACATTCTTCAAAACAAAATGACCACCACTTAAATCTATTAATATCTAATTTAAATGTCACATGCAACATTTCAGCCAATCAAATCTCACCTTGATAGCATCTCCCCTCCATTAACCTGAGGTGTTGTTCTCCCTCCGGAGTTTGGGGCTCCGACGACTACGGCGATGCCCGGATGTGAAAGCTCCGGTGTGGATGGTGGATCCTTTGCCTGTTCTGGAGGCTTCGTCGTTTGTTGCTGTGTCTTCTGCTGCTGTTTGAACCTTGACAAGCTGAAGAACAACCCTAGAATTGCCTTGAGGTTGCCATCTTTGATATCTGGAATGAAAGGCCGAGATTTTAGTTATTTTCATACTTGCCATTTTGGTGGCTGCCTTGTTTCACCCATGGGATCTGCTCTCACAAGGTGTAATTTACAACATGAAGGTGTGGAAATCGAATCTTTATTAGAAAGAACAGATGAAACCAAATCCTCATCCATGGTCTGTGTGTCAGATGTAGGCTATTAATGTCACTGTCGGCCTTAAAACCATGGTTCCACCACTGGTGCCATTATGCTGAACATGTCGGTGCCAAACATGTTAATGCCACACCAAGAACCACAAAATCACACAAATATCAAGTTCCTAGACTAACAACTAGTCCTTACTGTGTCCTAAGAACTATGCATATGGGTACTTCAAAGTCAAAGTTCATCAATTTATATGAAAGTATTTGAAATCTATACTGGTACCAAAGTGCCAAACAAGAAACTATTTATGTGTTGGTATCTGGAAAAAGTATTGGTACCACAATACCCAGCAAATCATAATTTATACAGTGATATGTAGGAACTATATTGCTACCACAGTGCCAAGCAAGTCATAATTTATACAGTGATATCTGGGAAACAGTACCAAAGTGCCAAGCAAGCCACAATTTACACAGCGGTACCTGGGAAACGGTACCACAGTGCCAAGCAAGTCATAACTTCTATAGCAACAGCTGGAAACTACACTGATTAAAAAATGCAAAACATGGGATAATTTAGTCATTGGTTTCTGACAACCGAAACAAGCATAGGTTATTTATGACCCACTGAAACCTGGAAGCCCAGTGGTGTAGTGAAGTTACAAGGAAACTGGTTTGGGATGCCAATTAGTCAGAAGAAATAATCAGCCAAGCAATCTCCACAGTAAATACATCAATAATCAATAACCTGATAGACTGCAAGGACAAATCAGCTGGAATAGATCCCATGTAAAGCTCTCTATAATTAGTGACTTAATTTCAAAACAGCCTTAAACAGAATTTCAGTTACTCAAACTCAAATCACAAAATATTAAGAACATTTTACACCAATGGTTTCACTGCAGTTTCATACAATCACTGCATTTAAGAGACAACATTGTTTTTTTGTTACTTAATAAACAATATATCTGAGAGAAAATGTGTGGGCATCTGATCCCTGTTTGTCTCAGCTTACAAAACAACTAGACACATTGATATTAATCTCTGTATTTGAAAAAGTGGCTTATAGTCAGGAAATACTATTTATGCTGTAACACAATCTGTCTAATGATGATTTATTGCAAATTTCACATTGTTTTAATGACACAGTTTGTTATCTTCTGTTTGTTTACCCAAAGTGACCCGACATTGTTCTAGACTGCACACGATATCTAGGACAGCAATACATGTATTTCCTCAAACATTTAGTTTTACGCCGCACTCAGCAGTATTCCAGCAATACGGCGGCAGTTTACCCAAGAGTAGGCAATGTGCATATCACACAAGAAATTACAGAACATTGCTGTTAGTTTAATGTGGGAGATGTATGCCATCTTTTTAGAACCATTGCAGGCATTGTATTTCTATTCCCAGATGAACATACGATCAACAAGAAGTCAGCGCCATACCTGTGGCCGAGCTGCATCACATATTGCTGTTATCCCACCTCAAGCTGGCACAAACTTGATGTAACGGTACACAGTTATGTTACAACAAACACACTCACTGGCTTGTTTGAAAAGGCATATTCCTGTCACATAATAATCTCCACGATAACAACCTCGATCCACATGAAACTGAAGTCTAACCAAATTCATCATGTACAAACTTGCATATTTGGTTTGCAGGACAATTAAGCATGAATTAGTCATTCTCATGTGAAGTAAACAAAACTAACCGTTACAAAAGCCAAGAGACGTCGATCTGTGCAACTGGACACCTGAACAATATTGACAAGTGTTTGGAACGATTGTTAACAGTTACATGGTGCATTATGATACCAATGTTAAATTATTACCAAGGAAGCTTGTTAAACAAATCTAAAAAAAATTCCTGATACAATCAACATAGTAATGGCTTTAATTGGGTAAAAATGTAGGAGGTCGAAATGTGGACATTAGTTATAAATTATTAAAAAGTTTGCAATTGAATACTGTCATGGTATCATATTTCAATTATTTGCCAAAGCAATGTGTTTTGAAAACTCAGCTAATTGGCGCCAATGTTGAAATGACAAAGATGTTTTGGCACAAATGCAATGCATTAAGTTCAGTCACTGGAAACATCTGGAAAACAGACAATTCTGTTAAATATCTCTCATGATGGCATGTCAATATTTGAACAAAATGTCTAAGAAATGCAATCTATTGAAATTTACCCATCATAATTCTTGTAGAAATCAAACATATTGAAACAGTTCTGAAACAGTTACAGAACCTCTTCCCATGTTTCTCTTCGGTTCTGACTAGAACACATTAGGACATCTAGGCCAGGTGCTTCACTTGTCAATACGCTATTGTTCAAATGGCCTCAAAGACATCTTCCATAAACCCCTGATTATGGAATCAAATTCTAAATCTTACCTCGCTAGATTAGTCAGTGACTCGTCAGTTTCAATGGCAAAATGCACCAAGAATTACACAGAATCCAAAATGGCAAGAACGTCATACATTTCTGCAAAATGTCGTACATATACATACAGCGAATCTGGTCATTGGGCCAATCTCATTAAGAATGTCAAATGAGGACAGTAATATCTGGTGTATATTTCCCATCTGACTCCTACTTGATCAGATTCTATTTCACTCAATTTCATCTCCAGTGCTTTGAGCGATCACAAGGGTTTATTCCCCAGCTTCAGCCGGACACAAATCTCGTATAACAACTACATTATTGATTCATTAAGGGTCCCTTGTCTAGACACCATTCATCAAAATGACTTGAATTTGAAATTTTTATCCCCTTAAATTTTTAGAAGAAAAACTTTTAAATTACTCGTGGTTCCATGCCTGGCATATGTGCTGTTATTAACTTGCATTCTCCAACCTTCCTGACAATGGGGCCATTAATTCAAAAGTTGATCAAATTTGATCATATTTATGGTTCAAGAGGAACCTAAATGCACATGCTTCATTTTCTGTTGAAATCTCATTTAATAAAAATCCGCCAAAAGACAAAACTTTGTCAAAATTATCCCAGCTGTTCAACAAAATATGCCACATGTTCCTGTAGACTTTAGTCAAGGTGAGCTACAATACTGACCATAAAACACATGAGATGATAGATACCTTCCGCTCAGGTGAGAAAAACAACACAGAAACTAAACATTGTCAACATAGATATAGAGTATCATGTATATTTCCTCAAGCATGAAATGAAGAACTGTACATTTCAATGAAAATGACAGTGCTATAGCCATGAAGATTAACACAGTGTTTATTTATTAACTATTGTGAAACATTGCCTCTTCCACTTGACTTACTTTGTGGTGTCAAATCAAAATTCTGTAAATAGCACATTATTTTGAATCAATGAAGTCTCTCTAAGTACTTATATCCCCAAGAATCTTGTAAATTTCCTGACGTGATGTGTCAGTTGTCTTAATGTGAAGTTTGTCACCAGCAAATCACATGGGTCCTTGACACTAGGATTAGAGTGAGTGAGTGAGTATGGTTTTACGCCACTTTTAGCAATATTACAGCAATATCACAGCGGGGGATACCAGACATGGGCTTCACACATTGTACCTATTTGGGGAATTGAACCTGGGTCTTCAGTATGAGGAGCAGATGCTTTAACCACTAGGCCACCTCACCGCACCACTAAGATTAGATATGAGTTAGATATATTTCCTAGGTAATATGTTTTCAGATTCTGACCAAACAAATATATAGACCTGAGCCTGAAGCATATGATTCTTTTTCAAATGTATTTATTGTTTTAAGGCTCAAACAAACACATTTCTCAGTTTCTGTTGACCGCCTCCGTGGTGTAGTGGTTAAAGCGTCCGCCTGGAGAGCGGAAGGTCGCGGGTTCGATACCCGACCGCGTCATACCAAAAGACGTTAAAATATGGTACTTGTTGGTCCCTGTCTGGCGCTCGGCATTAATGGGTACAACAAGGACTGGTCGGCTGGGAGTCAGTATAATGTGTCTGAAAGGGGTATTCATGCTTCACTGCGGCATGGTATCTTAGTGGGCTAGCACTATAAACCCAGCTTAAGTCTGGGCTAGTACAAGCAGCTACACATACAACTACACACACATGCACGTCGTCATATGAGCAAAATATTCTCAAGCACGATGTTAAACCCAACTTCACCTCACCTCAGTTTCTGTTACAAATTTATAACCTTTAACCATATGTCCAACCACTGAAATGTGTATATACAAGACAAACTGTCCATCACTGTACTATAACATATGTCTCAATCTTACATCAATGCATGTCATATTAGACTTATAATTTCTGACACGACTTTTGATTCATTACTTAATTCAATTGCACTTATAAGCATAATTCAATCAGTGTCAAACATGAATGTCTTATGTCAACAAAACAACCAACCTGCTATGAAAGACGTCTTCTAAACTCTTCAGACAAATATAATCCACGAGAATATCAACAAAAACAATGTACCCAATTCCACAAGCTTTTCCAATTTTCAAATCTGATTCTGATTGTAAAATTATGAAAATCCACTTCAAGCAGTTGTCAATTGCAATAACATGTGAAAAGAAATGACAGTTTCACCATGAAATTTATAACGCATCCATCAACACCAAAATCTCAGTTGTAAGGATGCAGGTGATGACGACAGACAATCTGTTCCATCTAGCATCATCCTGTTTGTGAAATATTAAAGGGACACACGACAAGAGGCTATTGTACTCAGTGACGTGGCCCTACGACTTAATATCGTCAATTTCACAAGGCCCCAGGGACTTGACTTGCTCAGGAAATGATAATATGCACCTAGCTGGGTGCAGGACAATACGAATCCTGTGTAGCTGCAGGTCGTTTGCAGGACATAGATCACATAGCTCCAGGTCGCTTGCAGGACATAGATCACGTTGGGGTTCTGTTTCCAACACATTTGTATTCACAACCCTCAGTCAGGCTGATCTGAATATTTGAAACTCTAGAATCTAAGGATTCAGATATGACTGAAGACAAATATACTCCTTAAGAACATACACCATATTTATATACATATATATATATATTCAAACAGTTTGAAACTGTGGGATATCAGTGACACAACGGTAGTAATTATGCATACTGAGCTTCATGCTAAAGGGCAATCCTAGCTCAGTTATCATCTAAAAATAGAAACATGGACTAGATCGCAGCAGGACAGAAGGACACCAGTGAGAAGAATAATGGTGCAGTATGAGATACAATTGTGTTTCTCCTGGTAGTAATTTGTTGTGTTTAGCTCGGGAACATATCCAAACATTAAAATGTTAAGTCATGGTTGTTTGGAATTAAAGCCGATTTGCCGGGGATAGCATTGAACAAAACAAACTTTTAAGTCTCATGAATATGTATGTAGACTGAGAGGATGGATTATTTTTTATCAGAACATACAAAATTATTCATCATTCCTAGGGTAATAAAATGTTTCAATTTGTTTAAAATATAAATGTCAAAATATAAATAAATAAAATCCAGAACAAGTCTAAACTTTGGGAGCTGAGTCACTGTAGACATGCCTAATCATTCTAGACTTGAGTGGGACTCCTTAACTTGTTATCTTACGTGACAGACTACCTAACTCCTTCACTTGAGAAAACCATTCGTTGTTTGCTATTCAGCTGCAGATATGATAAGTATATTTCCAATGATTGTAAGTGGCAGCAAACGAATGAGGTGCTCATAAAATATTGGGTTTGAGTATTGACCTTGACAGCTAATTACTTAGAGTTATATTCCCATTACACTGGCAGAAAAATACATCATTTGAGAAGTTTCAAGAGTTTCAAGAAGGCTGATTGTACCCGGAACGACGCGGATGATTCGAGGCCTTCTCTGACTGATTTGCATATCATCTACTTACCCTATGTAGATCAGATACACGTTTCGTGTTTATTGGGAACTGATTTCTGGGCAAACCCTCATGTTTCCACATGGAAATCACTTCATAACACATTTGGAAATCACTCCATAACACATTTAATGACAATGTTGACACACTACCTTAAAGATACTTGCATTTAGTAATTTGACAATGTTGACACACTACCTTAAAGATACTTGCATTTAGTAATTTGACAATGTTGACACACTACCTTAAAGATACTTGCATTTAGTAATTTGACAATGTTGACACACTACCTTAAAGATACTTGCATTTAGTAATTTGACAATGTTGACACACTACCTTAAAGATACTTGCATTTAGTAATTTGACAATGTTGACACACTACCTTAAAGATACTTGCATTTAGTAATTTGACAATGTTGACACACTTTAATTAGACAATGTTGACACACTACCTTAAAGATACTTGCATTTAGTAATTTGACAATGTTGACACACTACCTTAAAGATACTTGCATTTAGTAATTTGCTTCTGGTCAGCTATGAGCGAAAGAAAACTGTAAAAACAACATATCTTACCTTTATCGCTAAGTCCTTCAACACTGACTCCTAGACTGGCCAAAAAAGTCAAACACGTATTGATATTTTCCACCTGAAACAAAGAAAAACACCTTCAGTTAATAAAAGCTTAATAGACATAAACAATAATACTTATATCACACTACACATAGACTTGACTTTGGTATATTCTTGAATCAAAACATATTTCATTGCACTACACTTGAAAATTTGACAATGAACAAAAATCCGCTTTTCAAAATTACAAACGCAATATGAAACACATATCTGAAAAAATACACAACACAAAAAATAAATTATTTAGTCTTGAATCCAGCCATGATATAAGAACAAACAAGCATAAACTTTCCCAAGGCAACATCAGAACTAACTCCATCAAAATCAACAAGTATCAATGAAATCAACAAGTATTATATGTAACTCTTCCGTTGCATAGTCTCAATCAGATAAACAGGAGCTCATGCACTCAGATGCTTATCACATGACAGGCTGTCATTGTACATTTCAAATATCCACATGTTTCAAGTGTGATTTATTTCAGCTCATGTCACGCAGGTCAGAGCCTCATAAAAAAATCCCTTTTAATAAATTTTATCATTATTGTAATCAGTTCCAGCCTAGCTAAAAGGGTTTCTGTGCCACGTAAGGTCATACATATACTGAACAAAATCTACTCTCATCGAAACATTTGTCAATTATTCAGAGAGTTATTGATGAATTCTGTGAGCCAAGACGATGATGTCACAGATTTCACAAATTATGTGCATTTGGGAAATTGATAGTCTGGCATGTATTTCACAGACAGGAGTTACTGATGGCAATCGTTCATATCACGTTAAATTCAGCAAACACATGGTGGACGAAAACAATCTGAAACACACTTTTGTCAGGATAAATGTCTGATGACTTTTTTTACATAAAAACATTATTGTAATGGCAGGTCTTTCATGGAAATTATTTTTTACAGGATGTGCTTGAAACCCTGTAAATATTATACCTTAAGTAAATCAGTGCATATCTTAAATGTGTTTTTTTCTGATTTTTACAAGAAATAAGAGCCTTTGTTGGTGCCACCATGCTGCACAACGTCAACAATTTCCTTTGTTTGAATATATATGTCAGATTTAAGATAGCGCTGCAACTAATGGTACCTTTAAGCTGTAAGAAGAAACAACATTTCCAGACAATAAATGACTAGAATCTTTCATGCATTATATTTTGATCTAGCAGCATATGTTCACCTTAATTTATGCATGACACATATACTTTCACATAAATCGGATTTTCAGAATTTAATCCTTTAAATTTTAAAATGGAAAGGTTCACCTTTAAGAATTCCAATATCGGTACTAATGTTTTTCCATACAAAAAAATTGTGCATTTTTTTAAGAATATTGAATAAAACCAAATCCCTGCACAGACAGGCTGGAAGATTACCCCTGCTGCAGTGAAACCTTGTTTTATCATTCTGTCAATTGGCTCGTCTGTTCACATGAAACACAACTGGGCTCTATGTTGTAGCCAGGGCACCAATCCTATACAAATCAAATTGTGTGATTTTTCATCGGATGAGCAATTGGCACAGACTAGTCACCATGTAGACTTGCTCAGGGATGTTTTTCACACATGATCTACATTAATTGCTTAAGCAAAACATGACTCAGGCTAGACTTGCTATCGTCTCTCCACTCTCACAAAGGCTTGTATACCAGGATTTGCAAATATTTTGAAACCACATGAGTGCTTGGTGACTGTCAAATTCTAGACTTGCTACAAAGACTCTAGACTAATGCTTAGTCTCTGAATATATATGATTATGATTGTAACAAATAAACCCACTTAAATTGAAAAGGAGCCCCAGGGACGCCAGAGATTCAGAACCTGAACCTAGGGAAATCTAGACTTGCTTCATTTAGGGCTTTAGCACTGCAGGAGAGCTTGGCTGAAGTGAAAATAGTGAGGTTCTGGGACTGTGAAACAAACTACAAAGACTCCAAGACTGTTTGATTCCAAGTTAAAGTAATAGCTGATATGTTTCAGTTCCACTGTTCATACAGATTTAAACACTATTATTCTGACATTTTGATTTGGGCCTATCTTTTCAATGCTCTCCCTCTAAGCAAGGGGGCGGTGGGGTAGCCTAGTGGTTAAAGCGTTGGCTCGTCACGCCGAAGACCCGGGTTTGAATCCCCACATGGGTACATAGTGTGAAGCCCATTTGTGGTGTCCCCCGCCGTGATGTTGCTGGAATATTGCTAAAAGCGGCGTAAAACTAAACTCAGTCAGTCAGCCTCTAAGCAAGACTTTTCTTAAAGCGAAGTTTTTGTGATCTCAAATACAACAATGAATACAAATTAGAAAATAAGTAGTCTTAATTGATGTGTTGAATCATGAAAGGATCACCCCTTCCTAAACTACCTGTGAAGATCCAGGTTAGTATCGATCTTCAGTAACCAATGCTTGTCTTAAGAGGCGATGTATGGGATCGGGTGATCAAACTCGCTGACTTGGTTGACACATGTCATCATATCCCAATTGTGTAGATCGATATTCATGATGCTGATCACTGGAGTGTCTGGCCCAGACTCGATTATTTACAAACTGCTGCTATATAACTGGAGTATTGCTGAGTGCGGCATAAAACTAAACTCACTCACTCACTCACTCCCAAACTGTTCATCCCACACATAACCATCATCTCATTCCCCATCATCAATCCCTTGTACTATTCTCAGCATCTCCAGTGTCACTTCCTACCACACAAGGTTATGTACATCTATGGCATGTAACACTTTCATGAAATCCACAAGCCAGTGTTGACGACATGCACAATGATGGGTTTCTCCCACACCTAAAGGGATGCAACTCTCCACAGCACTCTGTTGGCTCTACAAAAATGTACAACTATTTGATTCTGTAGAAACGACCTGAACTCTACATCTTCATTTCTGTCTCTATTCACAGAGTTAGAACTGGGACAATCTACTCCAGCATACCAAATTACATTGCAAACTTGATAACTTCTTACACAAACTAACCTTTGCAGTTTCGACAACCATTGATCTTATTGCCAAAATACAATTCCAATACCATTCAGGTTCCCCAAAATACTTCCCGAAACTCTTTCACATTTCTTGATTAACCAACAAAGAGTTTCGCATCAGTAACCACTGAGTGCACCAACATCCACGTCCTTATCTATTCATTAACGTGAGATATGATTACTCAGCACCTACCAGACAGTCCAGGTGGCGCTAAATGATGACCTGAGGATGTCATTTACACATACAGCTACCAAGTAGATCATTTACATGCAACTGACGCACTGGGCAGATGATCAGGACCAGTTTCTGCAAGTGTTTAAGGGACTTCGGGAAGTGTTCCTGGTCTGATTGACAGATACATGAGACTTGCAGTGAAACTGACATGGAATTGACAACTTATCATGTGATTATTACATAAATGATATTTCCTGTCTGATCCTCACAAAAGTTACAGTGATGAATCAACAACAGTGAAATATATGCTGAAAACATAAATGGTATGCATTTCAGACAACAGATTCCTTCAAAATAAACATTACAATCACATTGCCAGCAGTGAATGTGTCCCTGCATATAATACAACTTGCTAGTAATACTATAACTCAATGATATCTGAATGTAGATTCAGTGGCTGGTGTTATTGTCAGCACACATCTGGCAGAAATGTTTTCCATATACCCTTCTGTATCCCACAGAGGAATATATCCCAGGTACCTTTCTGTATCCCACAGAGGAATATATCCCAGGTACCTTTCTGTATCCCACAGAAGAATATATCCAGGTACCCTTCTGTATCCCACAGAGGAATATATCCCAGGTACCTTTCTGTATCCCACAGAGGAATATATCCCAGGTACCTTTCTGTATCCCACAGAGGAATATATCCAGGTACCCTTCTGTATCCCACAGAGGAATATATCCCAGGTACCTTTCTGTATCCCACAGAAGAATATATCCAGGTACCCTTCTGTATCCCACAGAGGAATATATCCCAGGTACCTTTCTGTATCCCACAGAAGAATATATCCCAGGTACCCTTCTGTATCCCACAGAGGAATATATCCCAGGTACCCTTCTGTATCCCACAGAGGAATATATCCTAGGTACCCTTCTGTATCCCACATAGGCATATATCCTAGGTACCCTTCTGTATCCCACAGAGGCATATATCCTTGGTACCCTTCTGTATCCCACAGAGACATATATCTTGGTACCCTTCTGTATCCCACAGAGGCATATATCCTAGGTACCCTTCTGTATCCCACAGAGGCATATATCCTTGGTACCCTTCTGTATCCCACAGAGGAATATATCCTTGGTACCCTTCTGTATCCCACAGAAGAATATATCCTTGGTACCCTTCTGTATCCCACAGAGGAATATATCCTTGGTACCCTTCTGTATCCCACAGAGGAATATATCCCAGGTACCCTTCTGTATCCCACAGAGGAATATATCCTAGGTACCTTCTGTTGCCCACAGAGGAATACAAGGTACCCTTCTGTATCCCACAGAGGAAAACATCCCAGGTACCCTTCTGTATCCCACAAAGGAATATGTCCCAGGTATCCTGTATACCACAGAGGAATATATCCCAGGTACCCTTCTGTATCCCACAGAGGAATATATCCCAGGTACCCTTCTGTATCCCACAGAATCCTAGGAATATATCCCATCCCAGGTACCCTTCTGTATCCCACAGAGGAATATATCCCAGGTACCCTTCTGTATCCCACAGAAGAAATATATTCCAGGTACCCTTCTGTATACCACAGAGGAATATATCCCAGGTACCCTTCTGTATACCACAGAGGAATATATTCCAGGTACCCTTCTGTATACCACAGAGGTACCCAGATGAATATGGAAAGGGTTCTGTCACAAGGCATACAAGATTATTGCACCTATTCCACAAAGTGCAAGCATGTATGTGTGTGCCTGCTTGTGCTGATCTAGATTTATGCCAGTTTTATAATGCTTGCTCAGTGAAACACCATGCTGCAGTTAACACCGATAACATATTACCCCC